TTTTCCTCTATTTCTTTGCATTGATCACTGAGGAAGGCTTTCTTATCTCTCCTTGCTATTCTTTGGAACTCTGCATTCAAATGGGAATATCTTTCCTTTTCTCCTTTGCTTTCCCCTTCCCTTCTTTTCACAGCTATTTGTAAGGCCTCCTGAGACAGTCATTTTGCTTTTTTGCATTTCTTTTTCTTGGGGATGGTCTTGATCCCTGTCTCCTGTACAATGTCACGAACCTCTGTCCACAATTCATCAGGCACTTTGTCTATCAGATCTAGTCCTTTAAATCTATTTCTCACTTCCATTGTATAATTGTAAGGGATTTGATTTAGGTCATACCTGAATGGTCTAGTGGTTTTCCCTATTTTCTTCAATTTAAGTCTGATTTTGACAATAAGGAGTTCATGATCTGAGCCACAGTCAGCTCCCGGTCTTGTTTTTGCTGACTGTATAGAGCTTCTCCATCTTTGGCTGCAAAGAATATAATCAATCTGATTTCGGGTTTGACCATCTGGTGATGTCCATGTGCAGAGTCTTCACTTGTTGTTGGAAGAAGGTGTTTGCTATGATCAGTGCATTCTCTTGGCAAAACTCTATTAGCCTTTGCCCTGCTTCATTCTGTACCCCAAGGCCAAATTTGATGAGCATGGCCATCTCTTCCTAAACTCTCGGGTTAATTCTGTTACAAAATGATCTCCAAATCCAAGGAAGCTCTTATCCCATGAAGAGTGCCTCCTAGAAATAACAGCCTGCAGTTCCACCTCTGGAGCTGGGGGAGAGCCAGCCCCACCCGTACAACACAGCCAGGCAGAGACCACCCTGCCCAGCCCCTCTGAGGCAGAAGCTGTGTGAGCACCCCCACCCATAGCTCTGCCAGGCACATCCTCCACTTCGGCCAAGACAAACCAGGAAACACAGCACTCACGTGGGTCCTTAACTTGGAATTTGTGTTCCTTCAAATTTATGTCCATGTTTATGTTTCTGTGACATGTTTTAAAAGGATTTGCTAAGCAAATTAAGAGAATAAATGAGGTTTAGTGAGAACACTTAAACTGCTTAAAAGAAGGAATGTACTCAATGCTTTAGGCACAGGGTTTTGCATTATAAACTATACCCCACCCCCCGCCCCAGGTCTAACTAAGCCTTAATATAGGGCTTCCAGAGACCCCCACCAGGCAATATTTTATTTGCATGCTAAAAGTCAAATATAGAGATTCAGTGAGAGTTTTAACTGAAGTAGAAAATTAAATGATGAGACAGGATAAGTAAATGCATAACTAGAGAAGTCAGCACAGGTTCTGGAGATGAACTACATTTAGCCTGGGCTTCCCACCAACGACCCCTGTTAGCCCTGGTTTTCTTTCTGTTTAAGTATTTACACCATGTCTTAGCTGCAGCACATGGGGTCTTCACTGTGGCATGTGGGATCTAGTTCCCTGACCAGGGGTCAAACCTGGGCTCCCTGCACTGGGCGTTCAGAGTCTTAGCCACCAGGGAAGTCCCTGTTTTTCCTTTACAGCTGGCTTTGTTTGGTTTCATTTGGCAAATGCTCTTTGACTAGAAGTGTTTCTCTGATTTCTCGTAATGCAGATGCACCCACAGGTTCACACACTCACTCGTTTACTCTGTCACTCATTCATTCAGCAATCGTTTCATTTTTTTCTTTAAATTGAGGGTCTATGATGTGTTAGGATTTGGTGGCCAAAAAAAACAAAAAATGAAAAACAGACTCTGGTCATCCTTTCCTGGAGCCTAAGGATGACTGAGAAATAGACTTGAGCCAAACCAGTGACCACAGAAATAAACTTCTAACAAAGTGATCGCAAGGTTAAGAAGAGAGAGCCTCTGGCTCCTTCCAAGTCTTGCTGAAGCTGAAACATGGCTTCCTCGCCCTCACCCCCGGGACAGGAATGGGGGGTGGCTTGGGGCTGCCACATGGATGGTTGGGGACTGGACCCAAGGCTCAGGTAATAAAGAGGTGTTGACACTGTTACCTATCCAGGCATGTTCTCTGACCAACTCAAGGGTCGGTAACCAGGGAGAAGCCTGGCATCCTTGCGACCAGACCACACCAGGATAGCACTGCTTACACAGTCACTGGATGTTTGCGGAGAGGCCCTAACGGATCGTCATTCTCACAGGCCCTGAGCTGGGGGGCGGGGAAAAAACAGGCTCAGACACGTCGCCTTGACACCTTAAGCAAGGCAACGTGAAAGTGAGTTTTCTAGGGCCACCCATGTGTGGCTTTCGGGGTATATCTTACATTTTCAAGACAAATCAAAATTCAGGCAAAACATGTTCTCACTGCTCACATCGGCTGGAATTTTCATATACTGTCCAGGGACTGATAATTCTCTAAGGAGAAGGAGTCCAGTCCCTGGCAAGAACACACACGTCTGAAGACAAGGCTGCAAATCACAGGAGGCAGTGACCGCGGGACAGAGCAGCGACTGGGCGGGGCCGGCGCCCCGTGCGGATGGGCGGGGCCCACGGGGCTGGGAAGACGCCGCCGGCTGCAGCGGGGCCCACTGGCTGCCTTGCCTCTGCGGTGCCCCCGCCGCCTCTGGTGTCCGGTCAGGGAAGCGTCTCTCCAAGTGGCAGACAGAACGAGAGGGGCTGTGTCCCTCCAGGTGGGCTGCAGGCTTCGGGGGCAGTCCTGGTGTCAGCGGGCCCCCAGGTGCCTGGGGGTGGGGGGCAGTCTTGAGCCTGCCTGCCTCCAGAAGCCTGGTGTCAGCGGGCCTCCGGGAGCCTCGGGGTTGGGGCAGGGGCCTCAGGCTGGTCTTTGCACTCCCAGCGGCACCAGTGAAGGAACGTCAGGATACGTGGGCAAGTGCTGGGAATCAAAATAGCAGCCAAGTTACCTCCTGAACCCTAGTCATATTCCAGGTTGGTGGTGGTGCATTGGTTGCTAAGTCATAACTGACTCTCCCGACCCTGTGGACTGTAGCTTGCCAGGCTCCTCTGTCCAAGAGATTCTCCAGGCAAGACTACTGGAGTGCTTGCCATTTCCTTCTCCAGAGGATCTTCCCAACTAGAGACATTGCAGGTGGATTCTCTACCACTGAGCCATCAGCCCTATTACCAGCTATGACTCCCTTATTAGTGAAAGAACTCTAAACAAACAAGCTACTCTCATTATTTATATACATAAACACAATCTGAAGCTTCAAAGACAAAGAAGACACAATTTCCTTTATTTTTAGTTGAAGGGACTCTTTCATCTTCTCTCCTAATTGGAGGAGGGGGAAACGTTGATCTCCTTGTCTCAAGGGGATTCTCACATTGCAGAAGATGGGGCTAAGGCAGCATTTTGCTAGAATTCCTGAAATCAGAGAGCACTGATCCTTCCCAGTGGAGGGGCTCTCTGAGCACAGGAGGGTCGGGGCTGCCCACAGGTGACCTGCTGGGGTCGCCAGACACGGGCGCCGCGCCCCACCCCCAGCAGCTGTGGGGCACTGCAAAGGAAGACAGCGCATCTCCGTCCCCAGGGAGACAGACCAGGACACAGCAGCAGAGGGCCAAAACCAGAGCGTGAGATGCTCCCGGGGACGGGGCAGGGTCTGGGGTGTGCAGTGAGCATCAGCCTAATCCACCGCTAGAGACAGCTACCTCTTTGGTTAAAAGATCGTCACGTCTGTGTGTGTGCATGCTAAGTTGCTTCAGTCGAGTCCAACTCTTTGGAACCTCATGGACTTGTAGCCCAGCAGGCTCCTCTGTCCCTGAGATTCTGCCGGCAAGAATACTGGAGTGGGTTGCCATGTCCTCCTCCAGGGGATCCTCCTGATCCAGGAATAGAACCTGTGTCTCTTCTGTCTTCTGCACTGGCATGTAGGTTTTCTTTACCAATGCACCACCTGGGGCATATATACATACCAGTCATATATACATGTACACACACACACACACACACACACACACACACATATACACACACATACACATATATACACACACACACACATATAAATATTTTTAAAAATACCTTGTTGAGGACAGGTTTTGTTGACAAGACATCATACATGGTTGAAAATGAGATATTCTAAAACACAAAAATAGTTATTCTCAGTACATTAAATATGGATGTTGGCAGCTTTATCCACACAAATGGGTCATTAGACCAAGATATTCTTCAATCAACCTCCCCCTACCCTCATAAAAGAATTCCCCTGGGGTCACTGTTGCAGGTGATGATTCTGATATAACACGCTTGCTTTCTCCTCCTCCCCTCTTGAATTGCTGACATTCAGCCCCACAGAGTGGTAGCCACCATTTACAAGGGAAAAGCATGGCAAAATTTTGCTCTTTACATTAAAAACAAAAACTCAGTGGAAACTGTCCAGAGACAATGACTGTTAGGAGGTTTATAAATTCTTTAAAGGCCAGTGAAAAATGTTAGAATGGAGATAATCTTCTGTAGTCACCATTTCTCTCATATGTATGACACTGGGAATGTACCTCTTGGGTTGTCTGGTTCAGACACATCTTTGCAGGTGTTCTGCGATCATCAAGGAAGAAGGGGTTTTTCCATCGGTCATAATTTGTTTGTACCACATACCATCTACCCTGCTTGGGGTCGAGTCTAGATACAAAGAAAGAGATTTCTCTAGGCTTCACGCCTTAAACCCACACATATGTCCGTCCATGCTTTAGTTTCTGCTTGTTGTGCTTGAGCGAATGTACTTACTCATATACATCCAGGGACTGTGTTCTGTCTCGTGTAATCACACAGCCCTCCCCAGACTGGTTGCCTCCCAGGATAAAGTATGCTGGGGCCAATATCTTCGTTTTGGTCAATATATTCTTGGTTTCTTCATAACTACAAAGAAACATTTAGAACAAAGGAAAACACTTTTAGTTGACCTGAAATGGAAATTTTTAGCTGTGGAAACTAAGGGAAGACATCTGAGGAACATTTTTCTAACAAGGATAGTGAACAATGGCTCAGGGAGAAACAGTCCCTCACTCCTCTGCAGTGAAACAGTGAGATCTGAAATGTTCCCTCAAATGTGAAGGACGAATGAAACATCCTCAGGAGATCATCATCTACTCTTACAGTCTATTTACCTTTCACTCAACAACAGGACTAGGGAAAATAATATAACATATTTTATTACTTGAAAATCAGAGCTATCAAAAATGGAAATGGATTTCAAAGAAGACTACTAAATTGTATGCCCTGGAANGGGTGGGGAGGGAGGTGGGAGGGGGGATCGGGATGGGGAATACTTGTAAATCCATGGCTGATTCATATCAATGTATGGCAAAAACCACTACAATATTGTAAAGTAATTAGCCTCCAACTAATAAAAAATAAATGGGAAAAAAAACCCAAAAAATAAATACATAAATAAATAAAAATCTGATTTAATATATTTTCTATAAAGACTATACAGCCCTTTTGTAATGAGAAAAAATACTCTAACCAAATGCAAACCCCTCCTGCCTCAGATCAGGGCTGGTCTGGGGAAAATGGAAGTACTAAGCCTGCAGATCAGGCCAGGGTCGGTCATCCTGGGAAAGGTGACGGCTGTGGGGGCCGGGCTGTGACCCATGAGCAGCAGTAAGAGCTTCTGTCTCCAACTCACCTCTGTCTGTCTGTCTGTCTCCTACAGGTTTTGGGTGTCTGCTGCTTCCTGCCCAGGTTTTAGTTATGATGGCACCCGGAGGAGGCAGGTGGCTGCCCCCAGTGAAGTTACTGCCTGGTGGCCGGTGGCCGCAGAGAGGTTGCAGGCACAATGGTGCTGGGAGGAGCCACCAGCAAAGGCGCCGATTTCTCTGTGCAGTCAGTCAAGATACAGCAGGCCCGTGGTTGAAGGTGAGGATGTGTCTGTGTCAGAGAAGCAGGTGGGGTCTGGGGAGGGGCCCCTGCAGAGTCCCTTATGGCAGAGTCTGTCCCCCCCGGGGCCCGGCAGGAGACAGGCTCTGAAGAGCAAGAGCCCAGGGCCTCCGATCCCCCGAGCCAGGGAGAGCCCGCAGGGAGGGGGCGCGTCACTGAGCACACGGGGCCAGAAAGCACTGCACATCAAGGAAGCAGCCTCACCCAGCAATCCAAGGGATCCCAGGATCTGCAGGCAGGTCCAGCCCCTGCTTGCAAAACAGCGAGTTTGCTCCCGGTCCTACATACTGAGTGCAAGGCTCTAGAGCCTTGCGCCGGTGAGCTGACTCCTGGTAAACTGTGAACCAATGCAGTCACCTTTGATTGCTTGTTTTGACAGAAGGCATCTCTCCAGATATTCAAAATGGGGACAATCCACATGAAAACCATGACTCAGTTTTATTAAATTTTATTAACAAGATAATAACATTTTAAAAATATGTTAGATGTGGTTTAATATATGTCATTAATGTTTATAAAATTTATTAAGTGTCATCAGCCATCAGAACACACACACACACGCACACCTGCAGACGCCTGCTTGTTTTCCAGCAGAGGGAAGACTGGTGCTCTGGGAGCCTGAGACCCCCTCCCTCCATTAAAAGGTCCCATGTTTTTCTTCTCTCGGTAGCTGGCACCTCCTGCCTCCTGCTTGCTAAGGTCAGACACACCCCTGATTTTGATTTCCTCGTCCCCAAGGCCACATTCAGTCCATGAATCTCAGTTTCTCCTCCAAGGAGGATCTCAGTCTCTGCTTTTCCCCAGCCCAAGCAGCCACCTGAGTCCTGAGTGTGTCCCTACCCACCTCCATCTCCCTGCTCTGAGCTCCCTGCCAAGAATCACCCTCACAAAGTGCCCGGAGAGATGCGTGAAAATGGAGGTTAGGAAATCAAAGATGACACAAGCAGATGGAGAGACACCATGTTCTTGGATTGGAAGAATCAATATAATGAAAAAGACTACATTACCCAAGTCAGTCTTAGCTGCTCAGTCATGTCCTACCCTTTGTGACCCCATGGACTGCAGCCTGCCAGGCTCCTCTGTCCATGGGATTTTCCAGGCAAGAAAACTAGAGGGGGTTGCCATTTCCTTCTCCAAATCTCTATAAATCTACAAATGGTATTTTTCACAGAACTAGAACAAAGAATTCCACACTTTGTGTGGAAACATGAAAGACTCTGAGCCAAAGCAATCTTGAGAAGGAAGAACAGAGCTGGAAGAGCCGGCCTTTCTGACTTTAGACTGTACTACAAGCTACAGCTCTCAAGACGGCATGGTGCTGGTACAGAAAAAGAAACACAGACCAATGAAACAACATAGGAAACTCAGAGGTAAACCCACACACCTACAGGCGCCTTATCTTTGACAGATGCGTGTGCTCAGTCCCTCGCTCGTGTCTGACTCTCTCGACCCCACGGACTGCAGCCCGTCAGGCTCCTCTGACCGTGGGATTCTCCAGGCAGGAACACTGGAGTGGGTACAGACCAATGAAACAACATAGGAAACTCAGAGGTAAACCCACACGCCTACAGGCGCCTTATCTTAGACAGATGCGTGTGCTCAGTCCCTCGCTCGTGTCTGACTCTCTCGACCCCACGGACTGCAGCCTGTCAGGCTCCTCTGACCGTGGGATTCTCCAGGCAGGAACACTGGAGTGGGTGGCTATTTCCTACTCCCGGGGATCTTCCTGATCCAAGGATCAAACCCGAGTCTTCTATGTCCCCTCTATTGACAGGTGGATTTTTTATCACTAGTGCCAATTGGGAAGCCCATCTTTGACAAGGAGGGCAAAACTATTTCATGGAGAAAAGACGGTCTTCAATAAGTGGTGCTGGGAAAATGGGTCAACTACATGTAAAAGAATGAAACTAGACCACTTCCTAACACCATACACAAAAATAAACCCCAAATGAATTAAAGACCTAAAGGTAAGACCAAAAACTATAAAACTCTTAGAGGAAAACATAAGCAGAACACTCGATGACATAAACCACAGAAAAACCGTCTGTGCCCCCACCTCCTAGAGTAATGTAAATAAAAAGAAAAATAAACAAATGGGACCTAACTAAACTTAAAAACTTTTGCACAACAAAGGGCATGATAAGAAAGGCGAAAGGACAACCCTCAGAATAGGAGAAAATAATAGCAAATGAAACAATTGAGAAAGGATTAAACTACAAAACACACAAGCAGCTCATGCAGCTCAACACCAGAAAAACAAACAACACAGTCAAAAAGTGGGCAGAAGACATAAACAGACATTTCTCCAAAGAAGACATATAGATGGCTAATAAACACATGAAAAGATGCTCAATATCGCTCACTATTAGAGAAATACAAATCAAAGTACAATGAGGTACCATCTCACACAAGTCAGAATGGCCATCGTCAAAAACAATAAATGCTGGAGAGGGTTTGGAGAAAAGGGAACCCTCTTGCACTCTTCAGAGAGGGCAATGGCACCCCGCTCCAGTACTCATGGAAAATCCCATGGATGGAGGAGCCTGGTGGGCTGCAGTCCATGGGGTCACCAAGAGTCGAGACACGACTGAGCCACTTCACTTTCACTTTTCACTTTCATGCATTGGAGAAGGACATGGCAACCCACTCCAGTGTTCTTGCCTGGAGAATCCCAGGGACAGGGGAGCCTGGTGGGCTGCCGTCTATGGGGTTGCACAGACTCGGCCACGACTGAAGCAACTTAGCATCAGCAGCAGCAGCTTGCACTCTTGGTGGGAATTAAAATTGATACAGTCACTATGAAGAACAGTATGGAGATTTCTTAAAAAGTGAGGAATAAAACTACCATATGACCCAAAAATCCCACTACTGGGCATATACCCTGAGAAATACATAATTGAAAAATACACAAGTACCCCAATGTGCACTGTTTACTATAGCTAGGACATGGAAGCAACCTAGATGTCCATCCACAAGGTGGAGTATAAAGAAGCTGTGGTACATATACACAATGGAATTTTACTCAGCCGTAAAAAGGAATGCGTTTGAGTCAGTTCTAATGAGATGGATGAACCCAGAACCTATTATACAGAGTGAAGTCAGTCAGACAGAAAAAAACAATTATCGTATATTAACGCGTGTGTGTGGAATCTAGAAAGACAGTACTGATGAGCCTGCCTGCAGGGCGGCGGAGGAGCCGTGGACACAGAGAACAGGCTGTGGACACGGGCTGGGGAAGAAGGAGAGGGTGGGACGAGCGGAGAGAGTAGCACAGAAGCGTGCACACAGCGTGTGCAGCGTGGAAGGCAGAGGGGAACGTGCCGTGTGACGCAGGGAGCTCAAGCCTGGCGCCCTGTGACGACCTAGAGGGTGCGGTGGAGAAGGAGGTGCGGGAGGCTTAGGAGGGACCGGATGTGTTACCTACAGCCAATTCATGCTGAAGCTTGGCAGAAACCAACACAATACTGTAAAGCAATTATACTCCAATTAAAAAGAAATGTATTTTTAAAATGTAGCTTGGTGCACGCTCAGGCCCCAGCACCTCCCCAGAGCATCCCCCCGACACAAGGCTCCGGGGGCCTGGCCCTGCCTCCACGCCCTGCCCTGCAGACTCGGGCTCCGGTCTCTGGCCTCTGTCTTGCTGCTGCTCTGCCCGTCCTCACCCTCTCAGGGCTCAGGGGTAAAACCCGGCGCGCATCCTGAGCCATCTCTGGGAAGGGACAGCCCGCTGCCCAAGTCTCACAACATGACCCACGAGCTTCGCTCCACGTCCACACCGCTGTTCCCTGCTTACCTGCTTATTGACACCGCTACCTGTCAGAATATGAGGGCGTCAAGTACACGGTGAAAAGCCTCCAAAACGTCACACGCTATTTCTGTCCTCAGCATCCCTTACGGGCCGGACCATGCTCCCCTAAACAGTGTGGGAGGCCTCCCCTCGCACCCCGTAGCATGGGGCCGTG